ACACTGCACCCTGACTGGCTCCTCTCCTCCCCATGACCCTTCCATAAGGTGATGTCCAGTTGCCTTCAGATGGGCTTTGGGTCCCCATTCCGCACTTCCCCTCATTCACAATGATATGATTTTTTTGTTCTTTGATGCCTGATACCTGATCCTATCAACACCTCATGGTCACACAGGCTGGAGTGCTTCTTCCAAGTGGGCTTTGTTGCTTTTGAGCTAGATGGCCGCTTGTTTATCTTTATGTTAGTTGTTCTTTAGGAAAGCTGTCATTAGTGAAAGTCCTCGATATTATTTTCTACCTCATAATTTATTTCAGTATCAAACTTGTCCATGGTGCTTAACTATGGAAATTATTTCACTTCTACTGCTGGACACAAGAGGAAAATGTAGTGTGCTCCATAACTCTTCATCCCTGAGAGTTGTCCTTGGAGAAACATCCAGGTGAAAGAATTGTGCAAATGGCACTATGTCAAGAGCAACATTCGGACAATAGGAATCCAAAAGGAAGGGAAATAGATGGCTGACTTCTCGGGTGCAGCAACCCAAGGTCAGACTTAGATTTTCCTTTTCACTCACAACCTTTCATCTCAAGGCAAAGAGAATGCATAATAATTAGACATAGAATAACCAGATTGACTTCATGACTCAATATTATATCCCAATTGGATCTCTTTAGAAGAAATAGTAAGGGAAACTCATAACATGGAGAAAGATCTCGCTACACCTTGAGAATTGTTCAAGACAGGTAAGTGGGGATAAGAATGGGATGAAGGCTTTGATATTCTTGATGCTGTTGTACAATACTCAGGTTCTTCTCTTTTCATTGCATCACAGGTTTTCTGTCTCAACTGGTGTCTGAAAAGCCTTTGACGGAGTGCATCCGTGCTGGCCACTATGCAGCAAGCATCATAATCAGGCGGACTGGCTGCACCTTTCCTGAGAAGCCAGACTTCCACTGAAGGAAGAAAGCAAACTCAAGCCCGGGAGTGCATACACTGCCTTGATTACTTCCTGAGAATTCCCTTATTAATAAAGGAGGAAATCATCTGCTATCTTTTCCTACTATGATAATACTCATTCTTAATTTAGGGTACAGTAATGCTCAGTAGAATTGTAGTCTCTCAATAACTTACCAAAATGATCTTTAGTTCTATAGTTTATAGAGCCACTTAAATATCAATTAAGTAGTAATCTAAAATTTCAATAGAAATTTTTATTTCATTTTCAATTACTTTGTAAATTCACATGTATTTAGAAAATTATTAATTTTTCTACATTTCTGCTTTGTATGCAGATGCAATTTAATAATAGATTTTTTTAAAGGAATGAATCCTGATATCAAACTTTTGCTTTTTATATAAGTATGCTTAATTTAGGAATATCTATATTTGTGATATATGTGTATTATCACAAATATACATGATAAATGATCAAGTAAATTATAGAACTATGTATCTTGCCAAGTTATGCCAAATAAATTCTTCAGTGCATACTCATGTAATTAATTTTGAATAATTACACAATTTGCCAAATTTTAAGTTGTATTGCAATACTCAAATTATGATCCTATACTTACTGTAATTTAATACAAATAAAAACTTAAACTTTCATATAGGAATTTTTCTGTCCTTGCCCTGTGGTCAACAAACTAAGGAAGAAAGCTCATCAATTAGTACTGTATCCAGCAATGAGATTCTAATTTGTTAATAGAAACAGGCTACAAGAAACAATATAACACTGAAAAATAACTTCATAGTATGCGAAGTCAATAAGTCACAAAATATGTATTTTACAGAAGATAAAATGTTAGAATAGAACTGGAGTAGACTTATGAACTTGGACAAATTACTCAGCATCTTTTATTTATTTATTTTTTTTATAAATGTATAATTTATTGTTGGGGGAAAATCATTACTTCTCCTTGAGCACAAATTAGAGATAGGAGCTTTTTTTTTTTTTTT